TTACAGTTTCGGAAACCGACGTCCAGAGCTGTAATTTAGGAGGTGGCCGCCAGGGTGCAAAGCATACTTCCACAGTTCTCCAACTTCATTGTACGTCGAGGATGTCTGGAGCCTACCTTGAAAAATGCATATTCCGGGGCTCACTTCCGTAGGTCGTTATTCAAATATGTCTAAGCCGGAGTCCACGAATCGGCATTTTAAGTTCGCAACTGTGATTCTGAAGTGGCGACTCAGGAAGCACTTTCCTGCAGTGCTGTCTGTCCTTTCCGCAGCTCCCAGCCCACGGAGTTTGTCCTGGAAGCTTAGTGGGGAATTTTGAAACATTGTAAGTGAATCTGAGGGCGCGATTTTATCCAAACCTCGCATCTTCTATCCCGTCTCCTAGGTTTTCCTTATCGGCCTCCCAGCCTGTCTCCCTTTATTGGAAAATATGTAAGCTGTTTGACAGATCTGATACCCACGCTTGACTGCCGCTTTCTAGCTGGGCCTCAGTTTCCTCAGTTATCTGTAAATTGGAGATACTACTAAGGGGGTGCTGTGAGGATAAAAATAAAAGTATGTGAAAATACTTAGTAATTCCACTTACCAGTTGGGTGAACTTGGGCAGGTTATTCTCTCTCTAAAACGGCTTACTTATCTGAAAACTGAAAATGTTAATAGCAGCATCTGTTTCCATCTCTCCCAATCTGCTCATCTTCCAGTTTTCCTAATTTTTGTTAATGGTACCCAGTGAATGGTACTTTGTGCAAAACCCTGTAGTCATCCTTGCTGGTTGCTTTTCCCTTTCCTACCACATTCGGTCCTTTGCTAAATCTTCTTTGTTTTTCTTTCAAAATACATCTTGAATGCCAGTTTTCCCCACCGTCTCCAGCCTCCTGTTTGGACTCTCAGTGTCCACTCAGGCTCCTCCAGGGTTGCTTTTCACATCACATGGTGGCCAAAGCTCAAGAGTTATCTCCTCAACAAGATAATCTCTGACCACCATTCCTAAAACAGCCGCTCCTCCCTCCAGTCCTCCTCACCCCCTTACTCTGCTTTGTTTTCATCATCGTTCTCATCACGCTCTGAAATATTTTTTGTTTCCTTGTTCAGGCTCTGTCTCTGCCTCTAGAGTGTAAAGCTCTGTGCAGGTAGAGGCTCTGTCAGGCTCACCTAGAGCAGTGCCCTGTGACACACACTTGTTGAATGAATGGATAGAGATTTTGTGAGAATTAAATGTGAAAATGAATTTAGCACTCACTAAATAAGCACTCAATTAGCGTTAGTGTAATGAATATTAATAGCAAATTGTAGTATGTGGTAAATTGTAAGGGGAGATGTATTTTGCTAAATTGCTTGGATCATGTCTTTTATTTTCCTTTTCCTGTGGGCCCACAGGCCATCTGCTGCAGTCTCTCTCTTGTGTCAGAGTTTAATCATCTTTCTCATGTTTTGGCCCAGACGTCCTGGTCCACCCCAGATGGAGGAGGATTTGAAGTGTCCTGTTTCATTCTCAGTAGCGGGTTCCTGGGCTTGGATGGGAGGTTTGCCTCCATTCCTCCTCCCAGCTGATCCCCATGCTGCCTCTTTCCGCCTGTGTCAGTCCCTTCTCGACATGATGTAAAGCTGGAATGACCCACCTTTACATGAAATCAGAGCATGCCCAACCTCCCTCCCTCCCCCGCTTAAAATCTTTCAGTGGCTTACCTTGATCCTGAGGATGAAAGCCCATTCTGTTCCATGGCCTGCAGGTTTCTAAGTGACAGCTTTCCACTGGCTGCTTCCTCTTTCTGGGTCATACCGAGGCTCATTCCTGCCTTGAGACCTTTTCACCTGCTGTTCTCTGCTGCCTGGAAGGCATCTCCCTTAGATCTTCACTGTGTTCTCAACACACAGGCATTTCCTGAGCACCCCTTTGAGTAGCCTTGCCCTGTCCTCATTCATTCTCTCAGTCACCACGAACCTGGTACTATTCCAAGAACTTATGTGAACTCATTTAATTCCCACCACGGCCCTGCGAGGTAGGGCCTGTTATTCTCTCCATTTTACATTTGGAGATGTGGAGGCACAGAGAGGATTCTGGGTTGAGCAGTGTGTAGTGATGCTGGGGTTTCAAACTCAGGAGGCTTCCTCTGCTTCTGCCTATCCCATTGGCGTTTTACTGGATGCCTAACATTTATCTCCATTGAAATTATCTTGTTTATTTGTTTACTTATTTATTGTCTCCTCATTAGAATGTAAGCCTCGTGAGAGGTGGGGCCTTACATGTCTTGTTCACTGTTGTATCCCCAGCACCTAGAATGGTGCTTTCCACATAGTTGGTGCTTGGAAAATGTTTGTTGGATGCATGAGTGACCTCTGAGGACAGGTTCTCTCCTCCGGGTGTCCACTTGGCAGAGCCCTCCATTGCTGCGCTTACCACACATTTGTTTCTGTTACCAGTGTCCCCCACCCCTCCTAACCCAGACTCTGGTTTCTCCAGCATGGGGCTGCAGTATTCCTGGAGGAAGCCTCATACCCAGCCCAGTGCCTGGCTTACAGAGGGTGCCCAGGAAATGTTTAATGAATCCAGGGCCCTCATATTCTAATTCTAAAGACTGTAAAATAAAAAACAATATTCTTGCCAGAAAAGTGTAGCTGTGAGTGCAGGTGCCCAATAAGTATTTATTGTCTTAACTAGTCAATGAATAAATGGATCAAAATCGGCATGAGATTGATCATTCATTCAATTGGCATTACCCAGAGCCACACCTTTGCAATAAGACCCTGTGTATATAATGATATATGGGGTTCTTGTCTGCAAAGACCTTCCTGCCCAGCTGAGGGAGTGACTGCAAAAACATTTTCTGAACCACAAAAGGGAGACCCATAGGTGCCTGCCAGGCCCTCCATATGCATCCCTCATGTCATGTCTAGAAGTGAGAGGCACCAGTGTTACTGATTTCTCATCAGCCTTTTATGCTATTCTGCCTTCTCTGTTCCTTCTAGATAAGGCAAATGCACTTTCTAATAGGAAACTCCAATGCCTTAACAAGGGAAGTAGCATTTATTGAGCTTTTGCTATATGCCACACAGTGCTAGTACTTTACATAAACAATCATCTCTTTAATTCATTCTAAGAGTCCTCTGAGAGAGGCATCAACCCTCCCCTTGATGCAGGTGGGGAGAGCAGGCTCAGGTGGTCAGGTACTTGGCCTAGTGAGTAAGTTGGTGAGCCAGGAATTGAGAGCAATTTTGTGTTCTCAAAAGCTCCTACCCTTACAGGGTGGTGAAGAGGCTTTCCTGAGGTTTGAAGAGTTCCCTCTTTCTCCCTGGGAAATCCAGGATTTCCTCCTGGGACGGGCTTAGTGACAGCCATCTAGTGAAAGAGGGGGAGCCCTGGACATGTTTTGAAGCTTGCATAATGGATGTCCTGTTTTTACTGAGGTTGTGTGTTTATTGGGGGAAGGCATTCTGGAGGTTGTGAGAAGACTGAGCCTGAGCCACCTCTTGGAAAAACTGCTGAGCATCCAGATAATAGAATTGGAAGAAGGGGGAGGGACAAGAGAACAAGCTTCAGTTTCTTGAATGCTCTCTATGCATGAGGTATCTCATGTATATTGATTATTCTAGATTGTAAGGTGAAGGGTTGTTGCTAGGATCTATAGAGTGCTCTAAGAACTTGGCCAAATGTAGGGTGACCATATAATTTACTATCCAAATTGGGGCATTTCTGGGAGAGAAAGGGGTCGCTATCACATTAATTATGCCAGACAAAAGGTGTAAATTGGGACCTTTCCATGCAAACTGGGAGGTATGGCCATCCAAGAGAGCAGGGAAATAAGATTGCTCCTTGTTCTGGTTATCTATTGCTGTGTAACACATCCCTTCGAAACTTGGCAACTTAAAACAGCAACAATCCTTTTATGATTATCTCTCTTGGTTTCTGTGGGTCAGGTATTTGGGAAGGGCTTGGCTGGGTGGTTCTGGCCTGGGATCTCTCATGTCACTGTAGTTGGATGTGGATGGAGCTGGAGCAGCTGGTACCTGGCTAGACCTTTCTGTCTCTATTTCATCTTAGGGCCTCCCTCATGGAGAGTTTGGGCTTCCTCATAACATGGCGACCCCAGGACAGTCAGACTACTTCCATGAGAGCTGAAGACTTCCAGAGCAGTGTTCTGGCCAAGAAACTGGAAGCTGCAAGGCATTCTGCACTCTGGCCTCAGAAGGTATGCACATCACTTCCAACCCTTCTGTTTTTACCAACAAGTCTCAAGCTTGCCCAGAGTTAAGGCGCAAGGCTCTAGAAGAGCACGTGGAGGGGGAGATGTAGTTGTGGCCACCTTAGGAGCATCACTTCTGCCACAAATGTAAACTGGCCTTTTCTAGGAGTCACCAGTTGGTTGTCTGCAAATATGTGACTGAAGGCTTTGGGGCAATCAAATGCCAGACAGTTACTGAGGAAGTCTGGTTGGGATGAGGCCTGGAATGTAACTGTGGTTTACCAAGGGAAACCTGATCAGAGGGAATGGAGGCATGAATGGGAGTAGAGAAAGGGGAGAGTCACAGAGCCAGAGGCTGGCATTGTCCTGGGGGTGGGTTCTTGGCTGCACCAGCCCGAGCATCATTCCCATTTCCTGGGCAAGCTGTTGCCTCAAGCTGCCTCTGCTGAGAAATACTTCTTCAGACTAACGCTGTCCCTTGTTCTGACTCCCTCCAACCAATGAGCCCTGTGAGACCATGAATTGTCATGGGACCTTTACTGCAGGGAATTATGTGCTGGTCAGGAGGACAGAAATGCCCCATCCTGCTCGCAGTTGTATTTTTTGTGCTTTCCTTCAATAAATGGATCTTCTGTGTATGTATCAGCCTTATAAGCTTGGTTAAAGGGAGTCTACCCCTGCCTTGTGTGCAGATATACCTCAAACTGTGATGGATCTCCTCCCGGCACCTGTCCTTGTGGCCAGCCCACTTCCAGCAACCTGCATTTCCTCATGCACCTCCTGAGAACCACCGTAGGGATTATGACCCCATTTTATAGATGAGAATACTGAGGCACAGTGAGAAGGAATGTCTTGTTCAAGGTCAGCCAGCTGGTAAAGGTGTAGTTGGCGTGGAAACTCAGGTGTGCCTGGAACCAAAGCTGGCACTCACACACAATTTTAAGATCCCTAAACGCTCTGAAAACAAAAAGCTTTCTCCTGAGGTTGGAGCAAGCATTTGATGGCAAACCTGATGTGAATTGAAAGTGAGATGATGTGTGGTCTTTATTTTACCCCACTTAGTATGACTATTTATACATTTACTGTGGGAAACCAATGGGTTAATGCAGTACTGGTGCAGAGCTCATTGGGCATATTACACAGTATATGGTAGAGCTACCATAAAACCTTCTGAAATCCAAAGTTATCAAACACATTGAGCCCCAAGGTTTCAGATAAGAAATTGTGGGTTTGTACCAAACTTTTTTTCTTAGCAATGTGGAAATCACTGCCCCATTTTACAGATGAGAAAGACTGAGGGTGAGGGATGTGGTGCCCCAGGCAGACTCTGTGGAACCTTAGCACTTTATCATCCTATTGGAGGTGTGCCGGTAGGAAGGGAAGCCTTTGAGTCACCAGCCCACCCCAGCTTCCCAAGAGCCTCATCGCCCCAGTAAATTTTTAAAAATAGAAAACCTTTAAGGATTAAAGCTCCAAAGGATGCTTCAAGCACCCTGGAAGAAAGGAAGGCTTGCTGTATATTCCAGTGGTCGGCATTCAGATTTATTTTTTATCTCAGCTGAATGTACACTCACCCATCACAGGATCAGTTCTCAGAATAGAGAGGTACCTGTTGAATCATCCACCCCACTTCCTGCCTTGTGCGGGCATCTCTCCAAGTGCTGAGCCATCCGCTTCTCTCTGTGGCCTGAGATATATCAGGATTTGCAGCCCTGGTGACAGGAGACAAAATAGACTCCCATTTCCTTTGGAACCATTTAGCTAGTTTAGAGAGTGCTTTGCTTTTCAGTGGGATGAGCAATACCAGGCCTCTCCTTGGCTTTTTCTGTATATACATTTTCTTCTGTTGGAAGCTGGGGTTTGATGTTGTGGGGGATAAAGGTAAACACTGATTTTGGCTTGATCTGGCAGTGTAGTCATGGGCTGGTAGGTGACTCTCCCTGAACCTCAGGTCCGCTTTCTGCAGCACGGACGTTCTTTTCTCTGTTTGTGCCACGTGCCCTGGCTCCCACTATCCTTAGGACTGGAAACCATGCCTGGCAGGTGCCTGGGGATCCTTGTTGGGGCTAAGTGAATGCAGGTGATATTTAAGGGGGTGTCATGGGGCAGTATGGCATCACAGCAATACAAGCAGACATCCGTGGAGACGACTGCCTGACTTTTAATCCTAGGTTATCACTTGGGCAAGTCGTGTGACTATCTGAGTCTTGGCTTCCTCACTTGTAAAATGGATGGGCTCATAGTATGTATGTAGTGAGGTAATATGTTAAGTCAGGCAATATGTTTAGTGCTTAAAGCAGTAAACCCTTCATCCATGCTAGGCCTTGACTGGGACAAGATCTGCAACATTTCAAAAGCAATCACTGGTCACTGTGGGGATCCAGGCCTTGAGCTGGTCACTAAGGGTTCAGAGAGACCCAGCAATGCTCTCAAGTAGCCCAAAGTAGTAGGAAAGTAGGTGTGGCTATAATCCAGGGACTGTAATACTTATGAAGTAATTAATGAAATATATATTTTCTACATTTAAAAAGCAGATTTCATATAAATATCTAGATTTTTGACTTCTCAAGATCTGACAACACTGGGCTGCTTTCATTGTGTGATGATAAGAAGCTGGAGCTGAATAGGGACTGCTCTCTAGGCTAGGGGCTCTCTACTTGCCATAGTCCCCACTACTCCCAACTGCATCCCATCTGACCTTCTTTGTGTTCCTGTATGTGTGCTGCCTGGCCCTCTGGGAATTTGCAGCTGAATTATGATGCAGTGCTGTGAGTGCTGTGGGAGCACAGTGCGGGGTGATAACTCAGCTTTGGGCAGTCAGGAGAAAAGCTTCCCAAGGGAGGCAGAGTCACAGCTGCTTCCCCATAAAGCCTGCGGATACTGCTAAACACCCTTGTCTTTATGGCTCAAGGACACACATAGAGGACAGTCAGAGCTGGCAGGGCTCTCTTGACATAAAGCAACCAAGGCTCAGTAGCTTGTCTGAGGTCACACAGCCAGCTGATGGCACAGCTGGGGCTAGAACCAGGACTGTCACCAAAAATAGGCATGGGCTTTGGGAATCAGAGTATCTGTACTCTGGAACCTTAAACTTGAGTCCCATTTCTACCACTTACTGGCACGTGACCTTAGATAAGTTATTTAATCTTTTTGAACCCCAGTTACCTTATCTGTAAAGTAGAGCTAAGGATTCTGATCTTAAAGGAATGTTCTGAGGGCCAAATACTGAGAAAATGGATAGGGGGAACACTCATAAGCCCAAGAAGACTCTGGACATATGAGGCTCATTATGATTGTTGAAAAATAGCCACTTTCTCCCAACAGATTTTGGTACCATCTGTTCAACAGAAACCTTGATTGGGGACCTGTCCCCTCATCTGTCTTTGCCAGTCCCTTGTGGGAACATGCATGGCCCTTTCCAGGTTTGGACCCAGGAAGGGAATATTTTGGAATTCTCTGACCTTGGCTGTGAGCAGGACCTGAGTGCAGAGTCCAAAAGCTTCCCTCTTCTAGGAGGATCCAAGGTCAAAGGAGTTGCTGAGATAGAGATGGGAAGGAAGCAGAATTTCCTGAGGAAAAGAGGAGAAATGTCAGTATTTCTTTTGTTTTCTTCAAGACACCTACCTCTGCATACCAGTGGCTACCTTTAAATCCCTGTTGGGTGGATGGCGCAATTCAGATGATATAACATTGTTGACTAGCCCTATTTGGAGGTCCTTCTTGTCCTGAGTTCAAATCTTGGCTTTCCTCCTTATTGGCTGAGTGTGTCTTTGGGCAAAATGTCCCACTTCCGTAAACCTCAGTGTCCTCATTTGCAAAATGGGCTTCCTAAAAGTACCTATTTTATATAGGGTTTGGGGAGTCAAATAAAATTATATGGTAAAGGGTTTAGCACAGTGAGAAGCTCAATAAATGCCAATTATTACTATTATCAGTAATACTGTACTAATAACCATTTATCATGTTTATACAGCATTTTACCATTTGCGAACTAGTTGTGCTTTTCTTATTCCATTTGACCTTCACAACTGTTCCTTGAGGTGGCCAATGCAGGGATCATAAATAACCTCATTGCACAGATAAGAAAACTGGAGCCAGGAGGGGACAGTGGTCTGCTCAAGGTCCCACAGCTCGTGAGTGGCAGGGTGAAGTTCAAGTCTTCTTAGATGAAGGATGAGCAGCTGTGTCCACATCCACAGGGCCAGGCCAGACCACCTGAGCACAGTGTTGGGCCACTTCTTGGCACTCCAGTTGTCCCAAAGACCCTGTTATAGAGAAATTATCTGGAGTGTTGCTTCAAACCCTCATTTAACCTGTTTATATTCTGAGCTTGTACCACTTCTGGGGGCGAAGAAATTTTTCCTTGTTCTGTGGTGTCAGACTGACTTTTCTCTCGCATTTGTCCTAGAAAGACCTCTGTGGGGTTCTCAGCAGCCCCTGCCAGGCCTGGTCCCTGTTTACCAGAAGATCCATGTATTCTGAATTCTGGCCACAGGATGGCGGTGCTACCCAAGGCTTGAAAAGTCATGCCCACCACTTGGACTGCATTTCAGTGCATCAGATAGCAGCTAAACTCCTACTATGTGCAAATTGTTGTGGCTGCTGAGGAGCAGTTATTCATTGTTGTTATATTAAGATATATAAATAGCAACTACAACAGCAATAACATTGGTAGGGATTTTCATAGTTGAGCAGTTTACATAGATTATCTGGTTCCTTTTGCCAAACGACCCTGATATAGTAGAGATGGGTCTTTCAACCCCTGTTTGAGGAGGAATCTGGGACACAGAGAAGTGATGGGGCTTGTGTAAAGACACAGAGTAGTGTTGCACATTGGTAGGCACTCAGTGAATCAGAGACGGTGGGTCAAGTGGGGTAGAAAGACCCGTCTGTCTCCTCCACGCCATTCTTTGTCCATGAGGGCAGGGATTGTCTTATTTGCCTTTCTGTCCCCACTCCTAGCACAGCACCTGGTTGAGGGCTTCAGCAGACCTCTGTAGCAGGGA